GCTGCCAGAATAGGTAGAAAACCTGCTCCCGGTAGACTAACCCGCAGGCTGCTAAGGGCAGGACACTCGCAGAGGATATGCTCCACTGTTTCCTCCTGCGTTCTGCATCTCCTACATATCTTATCGTTAGTCAGAGCCAGTTTATAGGCGTGCGACGCCAGTAAGCAATGTCCAGTTAGAACACTCACCATTAGCCTAGCGTCCTCCCTCTTGAGGAAAAGCACAAACTTCGTGAGCTTCATGTCATATTCTTTGCACATAACCCTGGACAACTTGCAGCCTTGCGTTTTGCTCCACGCCTTCTTATGTTCAGAGCTGCTCTTCACTTCGCCACACTTCTAGACGAAGTGATGTGGGATAGTAGCGCCTTTATTTTAGCCTGACTGTCTATTTAGAGATTCATCCCCTTATTTTCTGGAGTGCTGTTCAGTAGCTCCGCCCTCCTTATGGCCAATAACTCTGCCTGGAAAATGCTGCAAGTTTGGCGGCTTATAAGATTTGTTGAGGCTAAGCTTCGATCCATCTGTATAGACATTCACCAAGCCAGCACTGCTCATGCCCTCACGTCAGCCTTCGGCAGTATCGGCTTGACTATCGCGGTGAAGATCCAGTGAGCAAGAGAAGGCGACTAGCCCCAGGTTCAGCCCAGCCTCATTGCACGAATAGAATACCACGGAAGTCTTCTTCGCCCTCTCCTTCACAATCAGGCGCTACTATCGGAACCTTGTATTTCCTGGTGAAGAAAATTTGGGCGAGTCTGCCTAAATCACGCGAAACTTTCGCCTATTCGTTGCTCATTAACAGCTAATAAAATGCAATATAAAAATTTTACTGCAGTTTAGCATCAGCAGCAAGAAGGCAACAAAGTCGTAATATTGCGGTAATTATTAAGTAGCTCGACGGCCTTGACCGCCTTTGAAATCAAAAAATACAAATCACTATTGCCAATTATCGAATTATTACTGTAGCTATTAGCAACAAGTAAGCAAAATATTGAATAAATTAAAAAGTCAAGAACTCTTACAACATGCGTGCATAAATGTATCTGTTTACCTGTATAAACACAAATGCATATACATACATATGTATGTATGTGTGTATGCATGATTACCCTGCAGGGAAACCGTACCAGATCTTTTATCGCAAAAAACGAACCAGCCCGATAGTAAGTAGATCGCCACTAGTCCAAAATCCGCGAAATGTAGTACTTTTAGAAATCTATTTTATTTAACTTTTTTCATCAGTAATCTATATCTACGGTGCCGAATTTAGAACTAGTTCGGAAATATCGAAAAAGGGCTACAGCTGGTGGCTTGTTTACTTTACTTAGTTATGTGTTTGGCGGCTTTTTCGTTCAAATACGCTTTCATTTTACACTTCGCAGATGCTTTTTCATAGTTTGATAATGCAAAAGAAAAATTTGTATTAACATTTTAACATCTTGGGGCCGTCTGGAATCTAACCAATAACAACAAGCACCTCTTCAAACTCAACTACAGCCAAAGGTATGTAAACGTACACTTCTTACATTCATTCAAACAAATTTAATTTCAAATTGAAAACACATTTCTTTGAAAATAATTTAAAATCGTACACACGGAAGAATCGAAAAGATTGAAATATCATGCTACTTTTTTCTTTCGTCTGTCGATTTTAGAACTTGTTGTTAAATTCGCCAATTGCTAGCACAGAACCAGTTCGGTACTAGTCCCTTTTCCGGCAGGGTATATATAGGCATTCAATACTACATATATACTATAATCGCAAGCAGCAAAGCATTTCTACTACGACGTTTTTTGTTTTTATCCACTTTCTTTATTCGTGTACTTTATTATTTCGCCTACCGAGGTAATTCCATGTACCTATATTGTGGATAAGTGTACGTCGTTGTTGTTGTTGCTGCCGCCGCGCAAAATAGGTGGCATGATTATTCTATGTTCACAAGTCTGGACTTAGGATTTCATCACATTCGATGCGTAACCAAAACATTGACCATTCGTCATTTTTGTTTGTTTTATATTTGTTTTTATCTTTTACTTTAAACACATTTTCCATTTCTACTGTCTTCGCCATCAAGCGATCGCTATTGATATGCCTACGATAACGATCATTAGTGGTATCATAGTGTTGATAATCATTGTCCGCACATATGTACATATGTATGTATGTGTGTATGCTTGTAGTTGCACACATGCTAGTGTACGTACGTAGGTTTTATCCTCGTTTTTTTTTTGTAGCGCCGCGTTAGCATCGAAACTTCGCTCTACGCACAACTGTTAGGAATGCAAGCGATGCATCGATCGATGTTTTTGAAATATCGATAATAATATCGGTTCCAAATTCGAAATTTTTTTTTTAATTTCGCAAAATTGGCGTTACATCGATGTCAGCTTCAACTATGTTTTAAACATCGAATTTAGTTTGACTTAAGCCAATTTTAAGCGTATTTCATGAACCGATATTGCGGCAATCTGAGCCGAAATTGTGCTGACTATAAGCAACCAAAATTGATATTGCTGTACCGAAAATGTGAATACTCTTTTGCTCATTGTGAGAAATTGTAAAAAATTCGGCGATTTTTATCCGGCGCTCATGCTCCGATCAAAGTTGACAATTTGTTTATTTTTATTAATAATCAAGCTCGATAGTGTGATCATATTGTACCGATTATCGTCGCATATTAAATTTAGTCGATAAGCACCGAAACATTTTGTCACAATATGCAACGATAATGGGACCACTCGAAAAGTAGTTGTACAAATCTTTTAATTGTGTATCAATCAAGCACGATAGATGGGATCCCAGCTTTAGACTTCCTTTTGATTCATATTACCCCTTACTTGTCTCAAATTAGTAAATAATTATAGGAAGGATAGAGGAAGGTTAATTAAATACTAGAAAATGCATCTATTAGTTAGTGTTGTTCTGGGTCGATACTTTTAAGCAGGGGCGTGAACCGGAAAACCATTAACCGAAATGAAATTTTCCACAAAGGTTTAAAGGTTCGTTTCAACTAATTTTCAATAGATAAATGTACGCAATTTTTTTCATTTTGTTAAATATGGTAATACCTACCATGTTTGTTTACCATGTGATAATATCAAATGTAAAGACAACCCATCTCATTTGCGTGTTATTTTTTTTTTGTTTTTCGAACCGTTCAATCGAACCGAAACCCCAGTTCAAATGCCAAAAAACCCGATTTGACGAACCAATCCAAAAGTGCAAAAACGGTTCGAACCGCTGAACCGAACCGACCGAATTTTTCGTCCGGTTCACGTCCCTGCTTTTAAGTATTGATCGATACTCGGTACCGATTTAACAAGTATCCAATACTTTCGATACTCGGTTCGGAAATGTTTAGGCTTCCAGTACGAACGCATATTAGAACAAAGACATGGAATAAAAGCTTGTCAGGGGAGCCTAGCCTATCAAAAACCGAACGAAGGTCTAATGGAGCTTTTAAAGGGAAACTATTCCTGATTTGAAATTTCTTTTCTAGATTAATCGGACGATGTTATCTTTTCTTGAATTTTAGATGTACGAATGTGGAAACTGATAAAATGATAATTTGGTTTGCGACGGAAATATTTTTGATATGTGGCTGCCACATTGTTCAGTACAAATTGTTCAACTTTTGGGAAAGCGTCGTCTTAATCGTACTAATTTTGAAACATATTCACAGTCGAAATAAAGTCGATACTGCTTTTTTACAGATATTCTATTGAAAATTGTGCCAAGAAGCTGAAACTAGCTTTAGTGTCGGCTTTATTTTGACTAAGAATACATCGCATTGTTTTAAGGCGATATCATTTATCAAACATCAAATAGCAATAGTTTATATTTCTTAACTTGAAATATTTACTATGGCGTAGATTTATTATATGTATGCACACATAGAATCGGTATTGGGTACCGAAAAAGAAGTATTGGGCACCGAAATCTTTCTGAAGTATTGGTTACCAGTACGCCATTCTCTAACTGCATTACCGAATACGGCATTGGTTGAGATTGACAAATATTTCCCTTATTCGCAATAGTGCCTAACAAATTGTAAAACGCCAATAACTATCGATTTATATATATAGTGGATTTTTTTCTGCCGATTTCTCAGATGTATCGAAACATCGATGTATCGATGTTGCTCAGCAAACTTTACATCCCTAACAACTGTGTGTGAAATGGATTTGAATTTGAGTCTCGAATTTGATTTCGAACTCGGCACGGACTGTCATTTACGCTGCTCTGTGCAGTTTGCTGCTGCTGCTGTTGCTGCTGCTGCTGCTGCGGCTTTGATTTTGGTTGGTTGGTTGATTTTTGGTTTAGCTTGGGCTTTGGCTTCGCCTTCCCCTTTAACATGCGCCACAGCTGCTCGATTGGTTTCAGATGACCGCGAACGGTGAACGCGTCAAGAACTTAACGACTAACAACTTCATAATCGTAGAAGAAATAAGAAAGACATTTTGGCGGTGTTCGCGCGTATTTGATATATATATATATATATATACAACTCTGTAGGCATACGTAAGCGAGTCGGCGTGGATGTGCTATATACAAAAAAAAAAGAAGAATATATTTTACTTGTGTCTAATTTCTTCCATTGAAAGATTTTGTTCTTTTTTTGTTGGATAATAGTCAACTCAAGAATTACCTGTGTCCATGCTCGCGTGTTAAATGTGGTATAATTTATTGGCCGCAATAGTTGCTTTTGTTGTTTTTTTTTTTGTGGTACATAATTTTTTCGCCCAAATTTAAACGCCAACCCCGGCTCGGACTGTATACCTGGCCGTGGGCTAATTACCTATTTGAAATTGATTAAAACGAGCCCTACTCGCCTGCTGCATAAGGAGGAACTACTTATTTTTCACCAGCCAATTCAATTTTATTCGCCCTTAAAAATTCAAAATTACGCTGTTTAACTTTTTTCACAACAACAACAAGCATACGGCGCATGGCAATCGTAACAAAAACAAAAAATAAAAATAATACACCAAAAATTAGTAGCAGAAAAAAAGTAAAAGAATTTTATATAAAAAAGTGCGCTTTTTAAAGTTTTTGCCGAAACAGCATTTGCATTGCATTACACAGGCGCACACAAACACACACGCGCACACACGCGCACACACGCACTGAAGAGACATCACACCATAAGCGCTCGCCTCACTCCAACTTCAACCATCAGCAGCATATTTCAGCACATCAGCATATCCAGCCTACTGTCAGCGGCGTTGGCGAGACGACAACGACAGCAGTGCTGAGCTAGTGCTAGCACAAAAATTGCAATTGTCACTCGAATTCAATACACACACACAAACACAAACACACACACACGCACGCCCGCGCTGCAATGCTGAATTCATTGTCTACGGTGCTGTTAAGCGCTTTGCGCACCTTCTGGCTACGGCTGACACTAATCTTCGACAAGTCTCACAAATATCAGCTGAACGGCGAACAATGCCCAGCACTGCAATCAAAAGCGTTTACGTCCCATGCAGCAGCAGCAGCACCCACAACAACAGCAGCAAAATCTGCAACACCGCCACTATTACCACCCTGCATGACGACGGAGGCCTGGCCGCAGAAGGCGAAAGATGAGAAAGCAGCGTTGCGAAAATTGCCAAGGCCGAAAGGATTGCCATTAATAGGCACGTTTTGGGATCTAGTTGCCGCCGGCGGTGGACAACAGTGAGTGTGTTGATGTTTATCGTGTTTCATAATTGAGTGCGCTTGCTTGAGTTGTTTTTTTAGTGTCTTCATTCTTTTTATTTTTATTTTTTTTGTTATTTCTTTTGGCTACAAGTGACTAAGCGAATGCGGATATTCAATAGGAATTTTTGGTGTTGAGTTTCTGAAATTTGCAAAAAGAAAAAAAAAACACACGTTCAAAAAGTTGAATATAAATAAATGGTGTTGAAGCTGAATGAAAGCTCCATTTAGAATCGCATAAAGTTGCATAAGCTATGACATCAAGGAACAAGTGAATAAGTATACATATGCATATATCGCACACCGTCTTCAAAAGAGTGACAACTCAAAATTTGGCATTTTTCAGATTATGCGCTAAAAATGTGCACAGCTTTTCTTTACCTTTCAGCTGGAGCAAATTTTTATTAAAATTTGTTTAAAAAAAATCTAAGGTAAAGTCGTCCTTGACTATATGATTATCATGTGCTAAGAAATAGTTTTTCGCATTTTCTGAAAAACGTTTAATTTTGAGTTGTGACTCTTTTGAAGATGGTGTGCGATATGAACAATGTAAACATAAATACTTAGTATATGTACATATGTACAAGTGGTGCTTCACATGCCATATTAACATATTACGAATGTAAGGGATATTCCCAAAAACTTGAAAAACCTCAGAGAAACCCCGATATTCGTATGAAATATATACATATGTGTATGAATATATTTCATTTGTTCCGGTTATTGAAATTAACTTTTGTTGTTTGTTAAAACATCCAAGTCTAATTTGATTGAACTAAGAATAGAAATTTTATGCGAAGAATAGAAATTTTATGCGGTGTTTCCAGAACTTTTTGGGCCGACTGGCTAAATTGGTAAAAGAAAAAATGGCTAAAATGTTTCAACTAAAATCATTAAATAAATCACAAAAACAGAGACTGGTAAATTCATTACAAATTATTTTTATTTAACAAGGGAAACTGCTAGTTAAAAGCTTTACAGCAGAAGTCATGTTTGTGTTACTTGTATTGTCCGACCGAACTCGATTTTTTGGCCGAAACCAAAACCCAACCCAAACGCTCGGTTTTTTCTTTGAAGTTCGGCCGAAACCGAAACCGAACCCGATCTGCTGAAATAAGCTCCGCATAGTTTTTTTTTATTCTAAATTCCCTTGTTTATTGGGTTTCATTAAGAATTAGGTACATTAATATTAATTTTTTAGTTCTTAAAATTAAACAATTTTATATTGTAAAATAACAAGTAATTTTTAGCAAAAAAAAAACCGACTTAAAAAAAATATCTATATATATATATATATTTCATGATCCAATGATCGGATCTAGACCAGATTAGATTCACCTCTGACACTACCTTTCCGATGCAAAAGGAATTATCGAAATCGGCTAACGTGGTCCAAAGTTATGCATAAAAAAAAACAAAAAAAAAAATATTCCGACGAACCGATAACCTCCTCCTTTTTTGGAAGTCACTTAAAAATAAAAGTTTATTCGCATTTTCACCAAGGAAATTCTTTCTCGATATAGCTGACCTGCCGCACTAAACAGAGTTGCTCAATAGCAACGCTGGACGGGGCAGCCGAAAGGTGTTTTATTGCCAATTTCTCTTGGTATAATTTCTTCAGCTAAATAGGATTCCAATTGCTTTTCATACGGCTGGGTATGGATTTTATCTCTTGGTGGAGGCTTTGTTATGTCCGAGTCATTTTTATCCCAGACTTACATTCAGTTTCAGATTTTATCAGTACAGTACTGATTTCTCAACTCTTGTACTGATTTTATTCATTTCTTCAATCAGTACGATAATGTCCTGATTTTTCAAAATTTTTACTGATTTGTACTGAATTTTAAATTCAAAACAAAATACTTTAGGGTTTTCTTAAGGTGTTTACATAACGTTGGAACTTCCTTAAACTGTATTGTAAAAAGTAAGAAGAAAATAATTTAATTATGGTTGACATGTTTCAGATAATGTGTGATATGCCCAAGAAATTAATACAACAAAAAGATCAATCGTTTTATGGGAATATCACCTGGTCATTACGCACCAGTTGCAATAATATGATGGAGCTTAAATTATTTAAAAGAAGACTGACGTTTTTGTTTTTTTGTCGTGTGTTGTTAGTTATCCCGAAAATAACTTTCAGTTTAATAACAACAAA